AAAAAGCTTGCATTCCATAGTTGCAATGGCAAATGAGCTTCTCTTTATCTTCTTGTTAGCCCAATTGTAGTTGAGTAAACTTCATGGTATGCTTTATAGTTTCTACTACACTATAGCTCATGTTGTTTGTCTATTCGATTTGATGCTATTGCTTAAACCATCGAAGGCATTAGGCCCAAATGGGGAGGATCAAGGAGTCTAAGATCAATGAGCCTTTATCATCAATTCATAACTACAGTATGATTTAGGGGTGGATGTCTTGTGGTATAAAATTAGGAAAATATTAGGATGTAACATGCGATATAATCACCATATGAGATAGTTCCATGTTTCCTTTTTTTTGACAAAAGGTGGATTTTATTGACTCAAACTGAAGCATCAAAAGGATACAAAAACACAATGTGCATGCACCTGGCCTACATGACTAGGTTGCACACAATCAAACACCATGCACACACACAACGAATCATGGCGACAAAGAGGAGACTCAGAAAGGACCAAAGTTATGGCTAGGCGGAGGGAAAAAAATTCTGAAACAGGCAAAACAACGATCATGTGCACCAACCATCTCTTGACATCACAAGGATAACGGGAAAGATTCTTCGACGATGCTTCCTGGAAAGAAATGATGCTTAAGTGCCGTCATGGCCGGATCCAAGCACCGAAGGCCAAATCCCGGGTTTACACCCCAAAGTCCGAGAAATCCGAGCAATACCTTCAACAAAAGGTGTCCCCTTCTCTTGCTCAGAAGTTGCAATGTTCCACAAGGACGGCGGAATGCCGACTCTAATTCAATGTTTGGGTAAGTGCCAGCAATAGTGAACCTTACTGTATCTACCATGATAGTATCACTATATTATTTTTGTGGGGATCTGTGAGCCAAGAGAGATGTAGGGAAGCAGTGGCAATTGTCCTTCTAAGCTGATGTGCACGTCCTTTTTTTTTTCCTATTATTGGTTTGTGAAGAACCAGGAGCCTGGAATTGAACAGATGGGTCCATCTGCTACTCACAACATATCTACATTTCGATTTGTGCCAAATTTGTGTAAAGATAGAGTTTTAGGACAGAAATGCATTGCGGCTTTATGCAATTCATGGATATCTTCATGTGTAAGCACTGGCGGAGCTTCTGCAAGGCCAAGTGGGCCGTGGCCCGCCCAGGTCTGGAGCAATATATATATATGCTTCATGCCCAGCCGGCCAGCCCAGCCCACAACCAGTACGCAGGTGCAGCCCATTGCCGATACACACATCAGCCTCTGCCTCGCAGACTCGCAAAGACGCACAGCCGCACGTCCAAAAGAAAGCAAACGACGGAGCTGCCGCTGACTGCCGTCTCATAGCGCAACCGCCGGCTGCCGTGGGCCCGCCTCCGGCTGGCGCCGCCCACGGGCGCGGCGCACATCAGTCCCTATCTCCACTAGTTCCCTTCATCCAACGCCCCACCGGCCACAACCACTCCTTAGCTGACCCACGCGCGGACGCGCACACGCAGCCGCGAGCAGGTTAGCTGGCGACGGCGGCGGCGCGAGGACGAGGCAGTGAACTGCCAACTGGGAAAATCCTTCTCTGAATCCTTACAAGCTGCGAAGGTAAATCGATTCAAATCATACCAATTTTATTCCCCTGAACAGAACCTAGGTCATCGTTCATTCCCCTGAACAGAACCTAGATACCCAAAATTTTATTATGTCCATTGTTATGCCCATCGCTTGCAACTTGCTCTTGTTGATGCATCCAAAGAAGTGGTTTCTATTTCTCAGTTCTTCCAAAAACTGCTCTATATCATAAACACCGTTGACTCATCTTCAAAGCGACATGATCAGCTCCATCAAGCCCAACTAGTTGAACTTGAAAATGCAATTGCTAATGCCAATATTGAGACAGGACAAGGGGCAAATCAGATTCATACCCTTAAGCGACCACGAGACACAAGGTGTGGTTCTCATTTTGGTTCAGTTTACAGCCTTATGAAGATGTTTGGTGCTATTTTTTCGGTCATCCAAGATATAGCAGCCGATAGATCAATTGGCTCATTGCATGCAGATGCCGACACTTGTTTCGGCTACTTGTCCTCCTTCGAGTTCATATTTAACTTGTGTTTGATGAAGGAGATATTTGAGATAACCGAAGTGCTTGGCCAAGCTTTACAGAAGAAGTCACAAGATATTGTGAATGCTGTTCGTTTAGTCTCCTCATCTAAAGAGTGTCTCCAACAACTAAGATCAGATGATGGCTACCAAGAATTTATTATCACAGTTGTTGAGTTCTGTACAAACCACTCCATTGTCATTCCAGACTTTGAGGAAGCTTACATCATGCGTGGTGGCCGTGCCCGCCATCAACCCAATCAGCTGACCAAGGAGCATTACTTTCGAGTCGAAATATTCTATGCAACACTGGACACTCAACTATTTGAACTAAATCATAGGTTCAATGAGAAGGTAATGGATCTTCTAACCACTAGTGCCACCTTGATTCCTAGAAACAAATTTAGAGGATTTAAAGCTAGTGATATATGTGACATGGTGAAAACGTACTACCCAGCAGACTTCCCCCAACAAGATATCTATGGATTACAACTACAACTAAAACATTTTGTTTTGGATGCTTCCAAGGATGAATATATGAGAAATATATCAAACTTGATTGATCTTTGTCGATGCCTTGTGGAGTCAGGAAGACATGTTGTCTTCAATTTGATTGAAAGATTACTCCGTTTGCTCATTACCCTTCCAGTTTCTATGGCGAGTGCTGAGCGTGCATTTTCCAGTATGAAGATCATTAAAACAAGGTGGCGCAATACAATGGAGGATGACTTTCTTGCCAATAACTTGTTGGTTAACATAGAGGGTGAACTTCTGGAGAAGTACAGCTATGAAGATATCATTGAAGATTTCAAATGAAGGAACGGAATGCTGATTTGTAGTATGTAACTCCACATAACTTTGCCTGATGGTCAAATGGTATGGCTTATTTTGGTTTGGAGTAGTATATATGGTCAAATGTTATGGCTTATTTTGGTCTCAGTAGTAAATATGTATATATATGCATCTGCTCATCTTGTATTCAATGTGAACAGAAGGTGTACTGACTATATCTATTGAAATAGTATATATGCTTTAGAATTTGAAGAATATTGTGCTCTCTGACCTGCCCAACTTTTTTTTTCAAGCTCCGCCACTGTGTGTAAGCATGAACTGATTCAGGTCCTTGTACATGTTTATGTATTTCTTTCACGGCTCTTGGCATGTTTCATAGATTCATATCAATACCAATACCTTTCATGTTTGACATCATAAGGATAGCGGGAAAGATTCTCCAAAAATGCCAGGAAAGAAACGACGCTTAAGCGCCACCGTGGCTGGCTCCAAGCACTGAAGGCTCCTTAGTTTTCATCCCAAAGAAGTCCGAGAAATCCGAATACCATCAACAAAGGTGTCCCCTTCTCTTGGTCAGAAGTTGCAATGTTCCAGAAGGACGGTGGAATGCTGACTCTAGATAGTGAGCCTTACTATTATTAATCGAGAGAGATGTGCAGTGACCTAAAACGTGTCGAATTATTTCTGTGGGATTTGTGAGCCAAGAGAGATGTGTAGGAAGCAGTGGCAACTCTCGTTTTGTGCTGCACGACCTGCTTTTTTTTGGTAGAGCCATGTGCTACAACATATCTAGGTAGTACCAATGATTCCGATTTGTGCCAAATTCGTGTAAAGATGGAGTTTTAGGATAGAAAAAATGCATGAAATGCAGGGATTAGAAGTTCTACCCATATGTGTTCTGATCGCCAATTCATATTAGATATACCAAATCCAGCAGCGGTCGATTGAAATTGAGAGAATAAGCTAAATAATTTTGACTTTACTTTTTTTTATTCCGATTTGTGCCAAATTCGTGTAAAGATGGAGTTTTAGGATAGAAAAAATGCATGAAATGCAGGGATATCTTTCATGTTTGAGAAAAAAAGATGAACAAATATGCCTCTGAAATGAACAAAGATGAACAACTAACACGCGTGCTCATCCGAGATAACTTGCCTCATCACAACACAAGCCGTAGCAAAGTTCTCGCAATGATGTAAAGTAAAGCAGAACCATGCTGTTTAAATCTGCAAATTACAAATCCTAGATGTCTTGCCTCAGTACAGCGAATCCTCGTCCATGGAAGCCTCGACGTCCTCCGCGGCCATGAGCTCCAAATGCCCCTGCGGCGGGCCAACTACCTGTGCCGGCGGCTGCGGCGGCGCCTCCTCGAAGCTCCCGCCCTGCTTGAACTTGCGAGCAAAGTACTCGTACTTGAGCACGTCCAGGTCGCTGACGCTCCGCCTCGCGTGCTCCATGGCCCCCAGGAAGTGCTTCCGGGTGATCTCGGCGCCGGCCATGGCCGCGGCCTTGCCCACGACCGAGCTCCTCTGGATGAGGTCGCGCACCGCCAGCTTGCACGCGCGCTGGCAGACCTCCGTGATGTCGGCGCCGCTGAACCCGGCCGTGGAGCGGGCCAGGTCCGGGAGGCTGACGCGGCGGGACAGCGGGGACCGGCGCAGGCCCGACTTGAAGATCTGCAGCCGCGACGCCTCGTCGGGGAGCGGGATGTAGATGAGCTGGTCGAGCCGCCCCGGCCGGAGCAGCGCCGGGTCGATGATGTCCGGCCTGTTGGTGGCCCCGATCACGAACACCGTCTTCTTGGCGTTGATCCCGTCCATCTCCGTGAGCAGCTGGTTCAGCACCCGGTCCGACGTGCCGCCGGCGTCTCCCACGCTGTTGCCGCGCTTGACGGCGATCGAGTCGAGCTCGTCGAAGAAGAGCACGCACGGCGCCGACTGGCGCGCCTTGTCGAACAGGTCGCGGACGTTCGACTCGCTCTCGCCGAACCACATGGTGAGCAGCTCCGGGCCCTTGACGCTGATGAAGTTGGCCTTGCACTCCCTGGCGATGGCCTTGGCCAGCAGCGTCTTGCCGCAGCCCGGCGGGCCGTAGAAGAGCACGCCCCGTGACGGCTCCATGCCGAAGAGCTCGAACATCTCCGGGTGCTCCACCGGGTACTGCACCGTCTCCTGGAGCTCCAGCTTGACGTCCTCCAGGCCGCCCACGTCCTCCCACGACACCTTGGGGACCTCCACCAGCCCCGTCTCCCGCAGCGCCGACGGCTTGGTCACCTCCTTGGCGTGCACCAGGTCGTCCATGATCACGGACATGGAGTTGAGCACCTCCACGTCGATGGTGTCCGCCTCGAGGTCGATCACGTCCATCTTCTGGCGGATGCACTGGAAGACGGCCTCGGAGCAGAGCGCGGCGAGGTCGGCGCCGACGAAGCCGTGCGTGTCCTTGCCGATGCGCTCCAGGTCGACGTCGTCCGAGAGGGGCATGTCCTTGGAGTGGATGCGGAGGATCTCGAGGCGGCCGACCTCGTCGGGCACGCCGATGTCGATCTCCTTGTCGAAGCGGCCGAAGCGGCAGAGGGCCGGGTCGAGGCTGTTGGGGCGGTTGGTGGCGCCGATGACCATGACCTGCGCGCGCGGGCGGAGGCCGTCCATGAGCGTGAGCAGCTGGGACACGACGCGGCGCTCCACCTCGCCGTGCGTCTTCTCGCGGTTGGGCGCGATGGCGTCGATCTCGTCCATGAAGATGATGGACGGCGCCTGGGCCTCGGCCTGGGCGAACACCTTGCGCAGGTTGTCCTCGCTCTGGCCGGCCATCATGGACATGATCTCCGGCCCGTTGACGACCACGAAGTTGGCGCCCGACTCGGCCGCGATGGCGCGCGCCAGCAGCGTCTTGCCGGTGCCCGGCGGGCCGTAGAGCAGGATCCCCTTGGGCGGCTTCACGCCCAGCGTCTTGAAGAGCTTGGGGTGGCGCAGCGGCAGCTCCACCAGCTCCCGGATCTGCGCGAGCTGCTTGCGGACGCCGCCGACGTCGTCGTAGCCCGGGCCGTCCAGCCTCTCCTCGTCCTCCCGCTTGACCGGGTTGGCGTCGTCGCAGAAGACCTGCGTGCCCGCCGCCACGATGACGCACTCGTCGGGGTCCGTGTCGACCACCTTGAACTCCACGGCGTGCATGTGGCCGTGCACCACGAAGCGGTCGCCCTTGCGCACCGGCCGCCGCGCGCCAATGAAGTAGGCTGCAATGCATCCATGGTCAGAAAGAAGACGCAAGAATCAATCAACAGCTCAAGAAATGATTGACGACGGTTACTAGAGAGAGAGAGAGGACTTACGCTTGACGTAGGCGTCGAAGAGGTTGCCGCTGATGCCGTCGACGGAGTCCTCGAAGGGGGAGATGGCGACGCGGGCGGCGTCCTTGACGGCGCCGCAGGGGGCGACGGTGACGAGGTCGCCGAGGCGGAGGCGCAGGTTGCCGCGGACGGCGCGGTTGACGCGCGCCAGGCCGTCGGGGCACGACTCGTCCCTGGCGGCGTAGCAGACGGTCTCGCGGCGGCGCTTGCCGCGGAGCGCCACCACCTTGCCGTTGAAGAGGTCGAGCGCGTCCATGGTGCCGGGGCTCAGCGCCACAGTCGAGCTGTCGACGGCCACCCCGCCCTCCGCGTCGTCCACCACCAGCCGGTTCGGCGCCCTCTTGCGCTCCAGGATCGCCGTGCTGTAGTCCTTCTTGGGCTCCATGGCGCTACGAGCGTGCGTGGCAGCAGCGGCGGCGATCGATCGCTCAAGCTTCCTCCGCCGATCTGATCGGAGATCGAGCGAATCGGCTGGATCGAGTCGATGGCTGGCTTGCCGCCGAGGTTGTGGATGGAGGTTTCACGGTGCCGCGGTGGGGGTATATATAGCGTGCGTGAACCGACGTACGTGGCCGCTACGGAATCGACCGACCTGGATTCAGCTTGCATTGTCGGTTGCTGTCACGTCCGGGAACTCATTTTTTCCTTTTCTGATTGAGGTCTGCAATGGAAATTGCAAACCCTTCGTCGGCTATACTTACCATAGCTTACTCTCTCTTTTCCATGGTACCATAGCTTACTTGTGTGCCACGTAAGCAAATCGCTGACGTGTACGTTTCGCTTAATTAAGCAACATACAGAGAGTGTGTGTGTGAGAGAGAGATGATGTTTCTATCTCCCTGGTCCCTGCAACTGATGCATATTTACAACTTCCCCCGATCGGGCCGTATGGTCCTTCCCCAGACCCCTCATGAACCATTCGCCCCGGCTCCTGCTCCGCCGCCGCCTTCTCGCCCAACCATGCCATTGCCTTCCCGCCTCCTTTCCAAGTGGGCATGTGTATGCTTTCGCCCTACCCGATCCTACGACATATGTCGCATCGCTAGGAGAAGCGTGCAGAGAGGCGATGGGTGAAATTATTTGTGTGCCACATAAGCAAAACGATGACACGTACGCTTCGCTTAGTTAAGAAACATAGATACTCTGTGTGTGTGAATGAGAGATTGTGTTTCTATCTCCGTGGTCCCTACATCTGATGCATATTTACAACTTCCCCCGACCGAACGGTATGGTCCTTTCTCGAACCCTCATGAATTCCATCGCCCAGGCTCTACCGTTTCCTCCTCGTACCACCAGCATCATTGCCTTTCCGCCTCCTTTCCAAGCGGACATGTGTATGCTCTCGCCCTACCCAATCCTATGACATATGCCGCATCGCTACGAGAAGCGTGCAGAGGAGATGGGTCAAATTACTTGTGTGCCACATAAGCAAATCGATGGCACGTACACTTCGGTTAATTACGAAACATAGATAGTGTGTGTGTGTGTGTGTGAATGGGAGATGGTGTTTCTATCTCCGTGGTCCCTGCATCTGATGCATATTTACAACTTCCCCCGATCGGGTGGTATGATCCTTTCTCAAACCTCTCAGGAATTCCATCGCCCAGGCTCTACCGCCGCCTCCTCGCACCACGGGCATCATTGCCTTCTCGCCTCCTTTCCAGCAAATGTGTGTATGCCTTCATATCTGCCCGATCCTACGACATATGTCGCCTCGCTAGGAGAAGCCTATAGAGAGGATATGGGTCAAATTAATTGACCATCGGTGACACGACTCTAATTTATAATTTAGGTGCACTATGGAAAAATATTAGGGGAAGCGCACTACAACATAGTATGTAACTTTGCCATCTATTTGAACTTGTCCGCATTTATTAAGATGATATTCAATACCAACTGCATCCCTTGCACAAACTTATGTGTATTACATGTGCGATCGTGTCACCGCTTTTCGCCTCCAATCCGAGAAGCTGAGGGTCTTTACTGACCTCTCCACCCCAAGTCATTACCATTGAGTTGAAGTACTCACTAGAATGTGAAACCTGCAACTTCTAATTTGCTCGCTACAAAAAAGATCCACATCAAGGAATCAACAAACACAACATTTTAGTTTTTAGCATTTTGTTGCATATGTTGACCCTAGACATTTGGACATATATGACTGTATGCACTTCAATGCAATTATGTGACAAATATGGATGTGTAGATGAAATTTTGTGAGTGTATATGAGATCAAGCCGCAAAAAGAACCCGGACTTCCGCCTCCGAAATGGAAATAGTTGTTGTATTATGAGTGTTGGCCGAAAGAAAAACCAAACTTCCACCTCGTATATGGAAATATATAAAGTTCTGTTGCAAAAAACCCACCTAGAATGTTGGTGTATTGGAGGTGCTTACAAAAAAAAGTTACATCTAGTGTTCCAAGTATTGGAGGTCGTTTGCCTTTGGAAATTGTAGTGTGAAATCATTACATGTGGTTATCCATCCGCCTCTAATACTAAAAATATTAACATCACCTGCTTAGATGTGGAATGGGAAACTGCCTCCAACACATATACGGAAAACGCCTCTAAAGTTTGCTTTTGTATTAGTGGGGGTTATCAATTGCAACACTTTATTACAATAGTATTATGAATAACCATTTTAAATGGCACAAGTCTTGGGGGACAAGCCGAGACAGTTTCTTTCCGTAGGGTTTATTGGCGTCCCACCTTGCAACATGGAACAAATTGCTCACTTGGAGCCCATCAAGCTGTCTAATGAGCCTGACATTTTCAAATGAAACTCGCAACAGGGTGGGAAGTTTGTCGTTAAATTGTGATACATGATGATGGCTCACAGTGATGTGTATGTGGATAATAAAAATTGTGTAAGCTAAAATAATGTCTCAGATATTCCTATGGTTCATGCACCAAGGGATAGTCTTGACTAGGGACAACCTCGCACGTTGCCACTGGAAAAATAGTAAGTGTTGTGCCTTTTGTCCTCATAATGAGTCCATTAAACACACATTTTTTAAATGTTAGCATACACATGTGGTATGGTCCATAGTCCATATAGTTTCAAATGTCTACCCGTCTAGTAGCGCTCATAATATGATTGGCAACTAGTTGAGGGGTATTGATAAAAAGTTCCATTCATATATTTGTTGGGGGGGGGGGCAGCCTTATGTTGGACTTTATGGTTTTCTAGGAATGGCGTGTTTTTTAATAATAAAAAATATGTTTCAACTCTCGTGCAGGTTATTCATGCATGTACATATTGGCTCAGTATTTGGTGATAGATACCTATTTTCCATGGCGTCTACCTGGTTGAAGCTTACGGGCACAGAGGTTTCTTCAACCATGGGTGGCAGTGTAGTCTTCTGATAATACTTCCTCCATCTTAGTTTTTTCCTATTTTTCTGTAAAATGTTTACTTTTATTTTTTTCTAGACATGTTGGTTGTGTGCTTGTTATGCAGAGGCCAAGCACTTGCTCAGTGTGGTTGTATAAAATGGTTTCTTTGTTTTATTATGCAATAAGAGGAATTCTTTCATTATCTTTTTCTTTAGTTGCAGAGAAATCAAAGTTAATAGTTTATTTTATAGCGAGGACAATTCCTAGTAAACAAATTCTTCCACTTAGATCAAAAGGAATTTTTCCAATAGAACTATGGAATCCCTGATCGGTTGTGGTTGTACATGTACTGTAGGAATAACAAAACTCCCATTCATTCTATTATTTTCCCATAATAAGTTATGTAGGATAGATGGCTGGGCAATTCGAGGTGTGTTATAACGATTGAATGAAAATGTCCTTTATAGAAATCAACCATTTTAAGCCGAGTTTGGAATGTAGGTTCAACCACATTTTCTGAAGAATTTGCCACTATAAGCAATAACATATGTCTAAAATGTGTGTTACTCACATAAAATATAATGAGGTGTTTAAGTCACCATTACAATAAAACTTGCATAAGTAAAACAAATTTAAGTTTCTTACCTATTGCAGAGAACAAATAGGTTATGTTATCACAAATGCCTGTTAGCATCACTAGAAAGCAACATGACTATCTATGAAGTATGGTTTAGCATGCTTGAAGAAAAGTTATCAGTTGGCACTTTTCAGATTCTAATGATGACATATGATTACGATGTATCAATCTACATGACCATGCTAATCCCTCTTATATATGTTCATATGTGAGCCATCTAATGCATTACAGAGACATTCAAAATAGAAAATAAATGATTATTATATAGTAAACTACAAAAGGTCAGATAAAAACATATAATGCAAGCATAATAAAATATTCTAAAGATGAACAATGCATGCCTTTAGATTAGGTTTAAAAGTATCAAAGAAGATGAATCATGCACACCTACAACATCATCTTCCTTTCGAGACAACTCCTTTTCTATGCAGAGGTCTCTTTCTACTGTGATTAGGGTGCATTTTTCTGAAGAATTTGCCACTATAAGCAATAATGTATGTCTAAATTGTGTGTTACTCACATAAATATAATGAGGTGTTTAAGTCACCATTATACAGTAAAACTTGCATAAGTAAAACAAATTTAACTTTCC